TGAATCAGCAGGGTCACTATTAGGGACATCCTCATTAGGTGCAGACCGCGGTCGACGCCGATAAGTAATGAGTGGTTTGGCAGAGGACAATGGAGGATTGAGAGGTGACAATGGAGTAAGATGAGGAATGGGTAAGACCTGAGAGATAGATTCAACTTCCACTTGTGAAGTGAAATACGGTTGATCCTCAAAGAAACTGACATCTGCAGAAGTATAGAAACGATGAGTAGAAGATGAATAACAACGGTACCCTTTTTGGACTCTAGAGTAGCCAAGGAATATGCACTTGATTGCTCGTGGAGATAATTTGTCAAGACCAGGGGAAAGATCCTGTACGAAACAAGTACAACCAAAGACTTTGGGAGGAACAAGGAAAATGGGGTCCTTTGGGAACAAGATAGAGTGTGGTACTTTGTTATCCAATGTAGAAGATGGCATTCGATTGATTAAATGAATAGCTGTGAGAACAGCATCTCCCCAGAATTTTAATGGGGCATTGGCATGAACCAGTAGTGTGCGTGCTGTTTCAATGATATGACGATGTTTTCTTTCGGCAATCCCATTTTGTTGAGGCGTGTGGGGACATGTGGATTGATGAATTATCCCTTGAGTAGCCATATATTCATTGAAATTTGTTGAGAAATATTCCTTGGCATTATCACTACGTAGAACACGAATGGTATGATCAAACTGATTTTTTATTTCATTGCACAAACTTTTGAAAATGCCAAATAACTCTGAACGTTCTTTCATTAAATAAAGCCACGTACATCTTGAAAAATCATCAACAAAGATAACATAGTACCGAAATCCTAAAACAGAACTGACACGAGTTGGACCCCAAACATCTGAGTGAACAAGATAGAAGGGAGATCTTGCATGACTATGACTTTTTGGGAAAGTGGTTCTAACATGTTTACCAATTTGACATGACTCACAGGCTAAGGACTGTAAATTGGAAACTTGAGGTACCATTCTCCTCAGTTTATTGAGACTAGGATGACCTAAACGTTGGTGAAGCAAAGAAGGAGACTCCATAGCAGTGCAAGCAACTGAAGAGGAAGTCTGAAAGTAGTATAGACCCTGAGATTCAAATCCTGCTCCAATCATGACTGACAGAAACTAAGTTGAAAGGACAACCAGGGATAAGAACAGAATTAAGAGACAAAGAAGGATGAAGTGTGGCCTGTCCAACGCCAATGGTTTTAACTTTTGAACCATCAGCAAGGGTGACATAGTGCGCTGATTTAGGTTGAGATAACTTTGAGAAAAGAGAAGGATTACCGGCAATGTGATCAGAGGCACCAGAATCTATGATCCAAGATTTGGCGGGTCCTGATTGAGAAAGACAAGTTGTAGAGTTACCGGTAAAGTTGACTGCTGCTGAGGAATGCTGAGCTGCCTTAAGTTGTAGATACTCTTTATATTCATCATCTGATAGAACATTCTGGGCACTTTTAGTTGCTGCCCCAGGTTTCACCGGTTCGGAGTGCATTACATTAACAGACTTGTCAGGCCAACCAATAATTTCATAACATTTATCTTTGGTATGACTCATGCGCTGACAATGACTACACTTAGGTCGACCACCAGTGCCACGTCCTCCTCTATCACGACCATGACCACGACCGCCATAGCTAGAACGAGAGACAAGAGCAGAGAACTCTGAATCAACGTGAGGACCAACACTTTCAATTCCACTTGGTGCAGGAACTCTCAACAGTCGACCGATAAGGTCTTCAGCAGTGGGAATGTTTGGATTCGTTAGGATCTGGTACCGCACGGAATCAAAATCCCTATGAAGTCCATGGAGAACAAACACCATACACATTTTATCAATTTTATCAAACACTTTAGGGAGATCAGTTTCGCTCAACATCACCTTAACCTCTTCAACAATGGATTGTGCCTTATTCACATATGATGGAAGGTCATGGTCGGACATTTGGAGTGTTGCAAGGCTATGAACAACGTCATAAATCCGTTGGACATCATTCGCAGACACACTTCGAGCTTTCTTCCATATGTCATAACACGTCTTGTATGTGCGGAAGTGGATCAACAGTTTGGGATCAATGGACTGCCACAAAATAGCAACCAATTGATGGTCGGCTTGAGTCCATTTTTCCCTTTCAGTTATCTCATCGGCTCTTTTGGTCAAATGATCGGACAAACCTTGGCCTAAGAACCACATTTCAACAGAAACTTGCCAATCCATGTAGTTTCTGCCGTTAAGTTTTTCAGAAGTTATTTGGGGATTCCCAGAAAAGACAAAGGACACAAGACTCCTGGAAGAGTCAAGAGTCGTGTTGCTTGCAAGAGACATGACGTATACTGACTTGGGAACAATCTGGAATGACTAGGACTTCTATTCCTAGTGCCGGCAGACCAGTCTCGATGAAGGTTGGCTGCAGGGACGACTAGGGAAAGTGAGGATCAGGCTCTGATACCAACTTGAATTTACTGATTTGAATGAAATTGCTTAAGAGAAACTACTCTCAGCAAGTCTTTATTTATAAGGCAAATAATTACAAGGAAAGAATCATATGCACATCAATCGGTAATTAATTCCTGATTTGATACAATAAATACTAAAATCAGGAAGGAAATCATATCAAATCTCAACAGTTACAAAGAGTTGGGCAAAAGTTGGAGCGATGAGAATATAGAGAAGTACAAGGAGGCAAAAGAAAAGCAAACAAAGTCGTAAAGGAAGCAAGGCAGAAAGTGAACAAGGAATGTATGTAAAACTTGGATTCTTAGGAAAGAGAAAGATATTTACATATTTGTTTGTCTTCGTGATTGTAGGACCCAAGGTATCGGAAAAAATAAGTGTGAAGGATGTCAATCAAAGGGTATTAATGGAGGAGGAAGAAATAAAAGAGAGGTAGAGGTCATACTTTGATACCTTGTTCAACGGGAATAAAGTGCAAGGTATTGATGATCTTACTATACTAGATTGTATGGTAAATCGGGACTTTGTGAGAAGGATCCAAATGAAAAAGTTAAAGAGGCTCTGAGAGAGATGGGAAAGAAGATAGCAGTGGGTCCATATGGCATACCGATCGAGACAAGGAGAAGTTTGGGGGAGAAAGGCATCGAATGGCTCACACGTTTCTTTAACATTATTTGGAGAAAAAACAAAATGCAAATGAGTTGGCGGAAGAGTACTCTCATTCCTTTATTTAAAAATAAGGGTGATGTACAAGAATGTGCCAACTATCGAGGGATTAAGCTTATGTGTCACACCATAAAACTTTGAGAGCAAGTGATTGAGCAAAAACTCCGAAAAAATGTGAAAATTTTGGAAAAATATAGACACTTAAAAGGATTTGCATCAGGTATTCATTGAGTTAGAAAAAGCATATGATAGAGTACCTCGAGAAATTCTTTGGTGGGCCTTAACTAGAAAGCCTATATCACATAAATATATCAGTATTATCATGGACATGTATGAGGCTTGTACTTTAAGTGTTTGTACTAGTGTAAGGAGGACTGCAGAGTTCCCTATTACTATCGGAGTGTACCAAGGATCGGCTCTGAGCCCTTTCTTATTTGTTATAGTCATGGATGAACTTATGAAATCAATTCAAGAAGATATACCGTGGTGCATGATGTTTGCCGATGATATTTATTGATTGATGAGACGCAATCTGGTGTTGAAACAAAGTTGGAAATATGGCAACAAACATTGGAGACCAAGGGTTTCAGACTTAGCCTAAGCAACACTGAGTATGTGAAGTGCAAGTTTGGTAGAAGTAGTCGTAATAGTGGGATTACTCTTGATGACAAGGAGATACGGGTGTGTGATATGTTCTGTTACTTGGGCTCCATAATTCAGAAGGGTGTTGAATTAGATGGAGATGTATCTCATAGAATCGGAGCAAGGTGGATGAAATGGAAGAGTGCATCAAGATTTCTATGTGATTGAGGTATGTCGATTAGACTGAAGTGTAAATTTTATCGGACAACCATTAAACCCGAATTAATGTATGGTGTGGACTGTTGGGTGGTGAAACAATGTCACATTCAAAAGATGAGTGTGGCAGGATGCGTATATTGCGTTGGATGTGTGGAAATACCAGAAATGAGATTATCGGACAAAAGGTGAAAGTGTCACCTATAAAATATAAGATGCAAGAGTCTTAATTGCGTTGGGTTGATCATTTGCGTAGAAGACCGAGTGATGCACCTGTTGGGCGACTTGAGAGGTGGGGAGGAGAGGGAGAGGAAGACTCAAACAAAATTGGATTAGAGGAATAAGAATTCATATGCTTCTTCTTGGATTGGATGAGACTTAGAGTATGGCTTTGGAGAGAACAAAGTGGAGGACGCATATACGTGTGGACGATTGATCTCTTTTCACTTTTTTCACTCTCTTTTTCTTTTATCTTCTTTAAATTTCCATATTCTTATGTTATTTTTATATTCTTATGCACTTTTCACTTTTTATCTTTTATCTTTCTTATGTTCTTATGTTATTTTATCTTATTCATTTTATCTTACTTTATCTTTTTATTCTTCTTATCTTTCTTCTCTTTTGGGTCTGATATCATGGATCGATACATGTTAGCTGATCCCAAAATCTTTTAGGGATAAGGCTTGGATGTTGTTGTTTTTGTTGTAGATAAAGTTGTGTTCAAAATGATAGAAACTTGCCGAATTCCTTGTCCATAGTATGTTGGAGTAGTCAAATGCAACTTCTGAGTTTTCAAATCCCCCACTAGTCCAAACGGGTCAGGTATGAGTTCATGTGTGTTCTGAGGGCTGCCATACAAACTTATCTAGTAATATTGGTGTTAGTGCTAAGTTTGAATAATTTGTAGATTAATATCAGTGGCAGAATCTTTATGTAAATAAACAAAGAGAGACCACTATAAATTCATCATACATTCAAGAACATAGTAAAGATTAATAATGATATAAAAGAGCATGTAATACAGTTTCAAAGTACATTAATAAATAGCTAACAAGGCATTTAGAAGTTTTAATGAACTCACAGGCAAAGGCCACCCCTTCAAAGTCAAGTTGTTACCACCTTGATTTGAACCTAACACAAGTACAAAGAAGTCGATAATGGTGCACTCACGGATAATTACGCATTCAAAAATGTAGAGCTAAATATATTATTTCCACCTTCTATACTCAAAAATTAAAGTTGAAAGTACCAGGAATCCCCATCAGCGATCCTTCTGGTCCAGGAGCAGTCCGGGGATTAATCATTGGGTTGATTTCAGGCTTTATATCCTGGTATACAAACACAATTCCATTACATTATAAAGAATATCTTTAGTGTCAATTTGGAACGTGTGAACAATATGAACTTAATATGAAACTTAATGATTAAAGCTCTATACAAGTGAGCATATTTATAGCTATAATTGAGGCACTAGGGTTTCTATACAAGTTGGGCTAAGCCCTATATAACTAGGTTTTCAACACTCCCCTCAAGTTGGAGCTTATAAATTATATGCACCAAGCTCGTTATATATGTCTTCCATTCTAGATCCTCTAAGAGACTTGGTTAAGACATCTACAAGTTGATCTTTGTATTGACATCATCTCTGATGATCTGGCCATTCGTGATTTGCTCTCGGATAAAGTGACATCAACCTCTCAAGGGCCATGGCAACCACATCTTGTTTTATACTTTTCTGAGAAATTTAAATTGCCACCAATCAAGATGCAATATCCAGAAGTAGAACGTCTTTCCATCAAGCATCCAACCTAATTTGCGTCACAATTTCACGGTGACCTTAATCTTCGAAGAGCAATCCTTGTCCTAGTGCTTTTTTATGTATCTTAAAACACGGAAAGTTGCATCTCAAAGTTCATCACATGGTTTATAAAGAAATTGGCTAAGTAGACTTGCCGCAAATGGTCTGGTCTCGTGTTGTTAAGGTAATTCAACGTTCCAATAACCCTGTTCTGACAAGAGTTTGACATTTGGGTCCATTGGTTTTCCACGGACCTGCACTCCATCATACATGATTCCTTAGAGAGAAGGCAGTCCCGTTTCTAAATTGGATGACCTCAATACCAAGATAATATTTCAGTTTCTCGAAGTCTTTTGTTTGAAATTTGCTAAAGAGATATTTCTTGAGGTGGGCAATTCTTTGGTCATCATTACCTGTGATGACAATGCCATCAACATATATACAAGAAAGATATATTTATTTCCCACAGAATGTCTATAGAAATTGAATTATCAATGTCACTCCAAGTCATGCCAAACGTGTTTAAGACGTCAATTTTCCCACCTTGACCAACTTTAATCGTATATATCCACCAGCATCCAACAATTGATTTCCTGCTAGGAAGGGGAACTAAATCCATGTCCCACTAGAATGTTGGGCGTCCAATTCGGCCAACATAGCTTGACGCCACTCCGAGTGTGAGAGTGACTCATGCGTGGTTTTAGGAATCCAGACATCATATAAGCTTGAAATGAAATCAAAGCAAGGGGTAGAGAAGCGGTGATGACTGAGAAAGTTATACATGGGAGGATTATTCAAAGTTGGGGGTGAAGCTTTTCAGAGAGCAATGGGCAAATCATCAATAGTGATCTCTTGCACTTGTGTATTTGAATGTGCCTGTGGTGGATCAATAGTAGGGGAATCACTATGTGTGACCTCAATGGACTTGATGGGCAAAGGAAGAGGACGTCGATGATACACTTATAAAGGACAGGTGGCTGGTGGTGGACAACTATGGTGCACCGATACTTCACCCCTATACCGATTCACTGATACGTGTCATGTACATAATCGTGTCCGTATCCATAATTTAGTAAAAGTATTGGATTCAATTTTAAAAATATAAATACTTCTGATACCCGTATCTGTGAACCGATACGTGTATCAATCCCTATAACCCTGATTTCATACACGACATGATGAAAATTTAGTAGCCGTCCAAGCGACCACAAGCTGTGGAACATTGGTAAAGATGATTTCGGGAGTATGAAAAATATTGGAATACTATAATTTGCCAACTTATGGAGAAGTATAGAGATGCTATAAGGATCTGCATTTGGTGTTCATTGACTTAGAAAAGGCATATGATAGGGTACCTCGAGAAGTTCTTTGGTGGGCCTTAACTAGGAAAGGCATATCACGCAAGTATATCAGCATCATCATGGATATGTATGAGGATTGTACTACAAGTGTTCGTACTGGTGTAGGGAGGACTGAAGAGTTCCCTATTACTATCGGAGTGCACCAAGGATCGGCCTTGAGTCCTTTCTTATTTGCCATAGTCATGGATGAACTTACGAAGTCAATTCAAGACGATTTACCGTGGTGCATGATGTTTGCCGACGATATTGTATTGATTGATGAGACGCAATCAGGTCTTAAAGCAAAGTTGGAAGTATGGCGACAAACATTGGAGAATAAGGGCTTCAAACTAAGTCGGAGCAAGACAGAGTACATGGAGTGCAAGTTTGGTGGAGGTAGAAGTAGTGGTAATAGCGGAATTACTCTGGATGGTAAGGAGATACCAGTCAACGATATGTTCCGTTACTTGGGCTCCATAATTCAGAAGAACGGTGAGTTAGATGGAGATGTATCCCATAGAATCAGAACAGGGTGGATGAAGTGGAAGAGTGTGTCAGGATTTCTTTGCGACCGAGGTATGCCGACTAGACTGAAGGGTAAATTTTATAGGACAGCAATTAGGCCTGCATTACTGTATGGCGTAGAGTGTTGGGCGGTGAAACAATGTCACATTCAAAAGATGAGTGTGGCAGAGATGTGCATGTTGCGTTGGATGTGTGGGCATACTAGGAAAGACCGCGTGAGGAATGAGACAATCAGACAAAGGGTGGGAGTAGCACCTATTGAAGACAAGATGCGGGAGTCGCGCCTACGGTGGTTTGGTCATGTGCGTAGAAGACCGAGTGATGCACCAGTTAGGCGAGTTGAGATGTGTGGAGAAGAGGCAGGGAAGAGAGGGAGAGGAAGACCCAAAGAGACGTGGGTTAGGGGAGTTCGAAGTGATATGCTTCTTCTGGGGTTGGATGAGGGCATGACTTTGGAGAGAACTAAGTGGAGGGCGGGTATTCACGTGAAGGAGTGATCTTGATAATCTTTTTCCCTCATCTTTTTTTTCCTAGTTTTTTTATCCTTATATATATATATATGCATTATTTGCAGCCTTTTTATTTTATCATTTTTATATATATTCATCTTTTTTATATTATCTTTTCATAATAGCTTATCTTTTTATCTTTATTCCTTCTTTTCCTTTTGGTTGTGATATCATGTATCGATTCATGTTAGACGACCCCAATATCTTTTGGGACTAAGGCTTGGATGTTGTTGTTGTACTATAATTTGCCAATTTGTCACTTGATGAGCTTTAGTTGAAATCAATCTTGTTAAAAACATAGATGTAAATGTAAATCGATAACCAAAAATTTAAATTGAATTAAAATCGAAATATCAGTACTTTAATTTTTTAGTCTAATCTTTGAAATTATATTATAATTGTTAATTTTTGGTACTATTATTTTATTTGAAATTATTTTATTTATGAACCTCTAAATTATATATATTTTTAAATCATACCCTATATTATTATTTATAAATATACCCCGTACCCATATTCTATAATTTTTGAAATTGTCGTATCGGCGTATCAATGTATCTGTTTCCGTGCAACATAGGTGGACGATTTGTGTATTCGCTAGATATTGGTTTGATAGGAGTCTGACATATCGGAGGAAGTCCACACATGATGGGGGATAAGTCGGAGAGGATGGGTAATAAAAAAATACTCAATGAAAGTGACATCAGAAGACACAAAATGTTTTAGAAGTAGTTGTAAATAACAATGATAGCCAATTTGAAAGGGTGAATATCCAAGAAAGGTATCATAGACAAAACACACACCCAAACACGTGACGAGGTAATGGAAAGAGTGCTTGGGTAGGAAATAAAACAAAATGGGGAATCACATTGTTAAGAACTGAAGAAAGCATTTTATTGATGTGGTGACATGTAGTAACATAGTGCGAGCAGTTATGACTAAATGTTGATTCTTGCGTTCAGCAATCCGATTTTGTTGAGGTGTATAAACACAAGATGAGTGATGAAGGATAGCCTTTTATATCATAAACTGATTAAAAGGTGTCGTAAAAAATTAGCATTGTCACTACGTAAAATTTTGATAGGATGACCAAATTGAGTGGGGTTTCAGCCCAACTTTTTTTTACACATGTGAAATAATTCAAGATGCTCTTTCATTACAAACAAGAGGAATTTAACTTTTGGGAGATATTGGACTTGCCGCCCATTTTCAAAATCATTAATGTGTGCACCCCACATTTAGCATAAAATCTTTTGACTTTTCACCCTCATTCCTTCACAATTTTCTGGTTGATGGGTGCATAAATTAATGATTATGAAAATGGGGTGCAAAGCCCAATATGATCCACAAAGTGGGATTCAAAGTTAAATCCCCTTAAAAACAATCATGTGTTAAAGGAGAAGTCATCTACAAATATAACACATTGACTAGACACGAACCCCATACATTTGTATGAATTAAATCAAAAGTGAATGTAGCCCTTTTATAGACTCTTCTTGGAATGGACTAATGAGGTTGCTTTCGAAGATGACACGACTCACAATATAAAGATGAAAAACTTGAGAAACAACGAAACATGGGACCATACGCCAAAACTTGGAGGGACTGAGATGACCCAAACGGTTATGCAAAGAAATTGTTGGTTCAGTCGACATCCAGACAATTAGATCAAGAGGGTGAAGGTGATACCTTGAGACTCATGCTCAATGCCTATCATCTTCCTCGTACGGGGGCCTGCACAACCAGAGAATCGACATAAGAAGTCATGGAACAATTAAGAGTGTAATTTTGCTAACAGAGACCGGATTGAGGGGTTACGAACAACATATAGAACACAATCTAAAGGTAAGGATGAAAGAGAAAGTGCTTGCCTTACCCGTAGTCGAAGTTTGATGACCTTGGCTAGGGTGATTAAAGGAAGGTTGTGGTGCTCGGTGATATGGGATAAATGATGTGGATTACCGGAAATATGATGCGAGGCACATGAGTGATGAGTCAATGATCCATGAACCAACTTTGTTGGAAACACAAGTTGTAGATGAACTGATGAAGTCATACTGGACGTTTTAAATTTCTGATAGGCCTCATATTCAGCCGTAGGTAGCACAACTGGAAATGGTGGGATCTGAGCAATATTGGCAGAGCTAGGTCCACCA